CCGATGTTCTCCAGCTGAATACCTGTTTGGCAATGTGGTAAAAAATTGACACATACAGGTAGGATCATGCATTATTCTAACTCTGTCATCTTTTTTGGCTTGGAGTACTAGGTGAGCTTTTGTTTGTTTTAGTATATTGCATTGTATGTTAGTGATGTCATGTCTAGCATGCTTGCCATGAGGTTAAATGCTAAATTGATAAACTGCTTGAATACCTATGGATGAAGGCTAATTGCTTGAATTGGAATAATTTGAGTAAATGTTCATATGTGATCACTTTTTCAAGTGGTACATATTCGAAACAATTTTCAAAACAAATATCAAATCAAACGTTTCAATTTTTGCAAATTAGTCTATACTTGTGTGCGCGCACATAGTAAGTTAGCTTAATAAATCGAAACAAGAACATATAATGTAAATAAGATTCACATCATGATTAATAGAAGCCAATCTTTGATCAAACGAGCAAGGGTGCTCAATTCATGACTTTCCTCACTTGTACCTAAGTTCCCGAGCCGAGACAATCTTGATGATTGGCACAAGTCATAGGTTTCCTAAATTTCCCAAAAAAATTAGGTGGCGACTTTGTATCTGGTAAAGTAGTCCGTTTTTGGCAATTTGATTCAAAATCAATTTTTCAAAAAGATTTGCCGGATTTAGACTCTTTGGTGTTTATCTATTTCATATTGTACTTGTGAGATCAAATTCAGAATCACAGGAGCCCGATATTGTAGGACTTGGTCGTCTTCTGAAAGGGGGCATGAAAATCGAGCTACACCCGACCTCTATTTTTCTTTGTGTTAAAACAAAATTTTCTCTATATTTTTATGTTTTTCTTCATATTTTTATGTTTGTCACTCTGTACGAAAGTTAGAGAAATTTTATTGTGATGTAACAATGAACACAATAAAATTTCATGTTTTTTTTTTTTCCAAATTTCATATTACTTATGAATCTTATTTGGAAGCTTTTATCAATAAGATTCTAAAAATATAAATTTTACCAAAAATAAAAATGTAAATAAAAGGTTATTAAATTTTAAATTTTGAAATAATTTAAATCATGTAAAAGGTAACTAACTATGGGGGCTATTTTTATAAAAAATTATTAACTATAGTTTATTTTTGGTATGACTTATAAGTTGATTTTTTTACTTATTACAAAAAGACATTAAAAAAAAAAGAAAAGATGACATGATAGAAATAAGCTAATGAGCAACTTATTTTGTGTCCCCAAAAGAGCTCATATATTTGTTGGAGGACCTAATCTACTACTAAAAAACTTGTTTGTCCTTATTCTTTTAAAGTAATATTAGTAGAGATCTTAAACTAAAAACCCCATACATTTTGGTTGTGCTTGGTTCAGTTTTAAAATCAATCTTGGAAGATAATTTTGTGAAAAGAGTTTGAAAATTCAAAACTTGTTTGGTTATAAGTTTTCAAACTAGTTTTGAGTTGTATGTTTTGAAAATAGCTTTTAGAAATTTGAAAATTCATAACTTACTTGATTATGAGTTTTCAAAATTAGTTTTTGAGTTTTTTTTTTAGTCTTGTATTTTTTATCTTGTAATCAAAACTTTTTTGTAATATTATAGTCAAATTTGTTTATTTCTTTCATATATCTAATCTAATTTCCTTTTTAGATGCATCTAATCTAATCTATAGGACAAAGTTTCACTCCATATTTTTTATTTTGTATGAACGCTTTAAAAAATTTAACATTTCTTTTCTGATTTTATATCCACTCAATTTATAGACATTTAAAATTTTTATCATTTAAATGTAGTTTTTTTTTATTATAAAGCTACTGAATAATGAGAAATATACACACACCAAATAAAAAAATAAAAAAATTGAGCCTATTTAAAAATTAATACAATTTTAATATTTTATGTATTTGTTAAATTTATTTTTGAATTTTTTCATATTTTGTTTACTATTTAAATATATCTAGATCATATACATCTAAAACATAAAAAATTATTTGGCTAATACTTAAAAACCAAACAAAATCAATTTTGTGAAAATGGTAAACCAAACACGTTTTGAGTTTTAGGATTTGAATGTTTTCAAATATAGCGACTCCGATTTTGACCCGACCCTTATTGTAATTTGGATACGAGTTTCTTGGTTTTGTACTATTGAACATGTCTTGCTCATCTTCTTTTTCCTTAAACTTGACTATGAGATTGTTGTGGTTATGTTTGGAACATGTTGGTTGTTCGGTTTCCCAACTCTTGTTGCCTAGAATTTTGCACTTCTTGCGCTCAAGCGAGCTTGGCAAACTCTCAGTCCTTTTGCAGGTCTGCAAAACTACTGAGAGAGTGTATTCTACACTCGAGCGGCGTTTCCTACGCTTGGGTTGGTGTGCACTCGAGCGGCCATTCTTGCGCTCGAACGATGTTCTTCAGTCTGCAAAACTACTAGATGTGTGTATTCTGCACTCGAGTGGTCATTTCTTGCGCTTGAGTGGAACAACTTATTGTGTCTGATGCTTAAGCGTCAACTTTTGCGCTCGAACTGATTGTGCGTATATCAGTTCACAGCAGCACCTTTTTACATCACTTTTTCATATCTTTTTCCACCAAAGCCCTAGATCGGGACTCTCTCTCCGAAACTCATCTTCCCTCTACATTTTCACCTAGATCTAGTGATTGCCCTACCTATGTGCTCTTGTTAAAAATGTAGTGCGCCTTAAGAGCTCTCTTTTGATCCGATTAAAGCTTGGTTTCAGCGTTTTTGAAGTTTCTCCATCTCTCCCTTTGGTCTTCTAAGCTTGAGGTAGGGACTCTCTACACTCTCTATGAATTTTAACTTGGCTATTCCTTGATGTGCGAGAAACATTAGGTTTTAAGGTGATTTTAACAAACTTAGGGTTTGTGGTTTAAATTCAAAAGAGGGGTTTTAAAAATGATGTCTTGAAAAGGATCATGGGAATGAATATGAACTTCTGTTGTGTTAAAATATATGATTTGGTGGTTGGGATGAGATTTGGAAGGAAATAAAGTTTGGCCCTAAAATGTTCAAGTAATTATTTTGCATAAATAATAAAATTGGAAATGAAAATATGAAATTAGATAAATGTTTATATAAATGGTGAAGTTGGATGTGTATCATCTCCCACCTATGAAAATTTGAATAATTTATCTATTTTAAAGATTGTACATCTGTTTATAAATATCTGTTTTGGGCTATTGCTGGAGGACACCATGATTGTTGTAGAAATTGCATGAAGATTAGGTGAATTGAAACTAATCTCTTATTGATTGTCATTAAATATGATCGTGTTTAATACATTGTATATGTATGATGTTTGGGAAGGGAAATGAAATTTACTCCATATTTGGGAGGAGAAAGGAGATGGACTCCATTGAATTAAGTTGGCCTGTACGTCTAGGATGAATGTCCCGAAAACATTGTGTATACATGAGTGCCGATTCCCACGGACGAAATTTTCGTAAAATGGCAAATTTAAGTGTTTGTGTGTAAAAAAACCACTGAGTTGTAATCTTAGTTGGGTTGTTTGGATAACAACGGGTATGACTCATGAATTAAGGAGATATGAAATGACGTGAAACGAATTGATATAAAATGGATTGGAATATATAATACTTAACATAATATGGTTTTAGAAAAATAGTTGTAAATGATTTTATTGTTGAGCATTGGTTATGTGCATCATGTTTATAACCTAATTAAAATTCATATATTGTGCTAGATTGTTTCTACTGGGTTTTGACTCAACTTATTTGGAAAAAACCATTTTCAGGTGCCGGTGATATGCCTCTGCCAAGGCAGTAGCTTGGGAGGATTGTGGAGTTGAGAGCTTACTTTCAAATATTTTGTATTTGTTTTTGTACAAGCTTAGGGTTTTATTTTGTATTGAGCTTTCTGACTCGTTTTGTTGTAACCATGTATCATCTTGGAAAGTTGTAAGCCCGTATGACATATATTTCGTTGATCATTTAGTTTGATGCCACATGTTATAGATTCAGGATAAAGTGTATAAATGTGTAATGCATGTGCCCCTTTTGTAAACGGACTCTGATTAATGAAAGTCTAATACTCTGTGTATGACATTTTGTATTAGTCTTTACTGTTGAATTATTGTATTATTTTCGGGGCGTTACATCAAAAACCTTGAACTAAACAAGTTTTGAATTTTAAATTTTGGAATGAGTTTTTAAAAACCCTAAACTAAACAGGTTTTTGGTTTTGAATTTTAAAAAATTAATCAAAAATTTAAACAACGCACCATTTTTTCCTTTAATTTTACTAAAGTCAAATTCTTATTATTTTTAATTATAATTTCTACTTAATTTGTTTTAATAATTTTGAAAATTTTGAAACTAAATTAATGGATTGTTTAAGAAGTGCTAGATTAATATATTTTTGACTTTTTATAATTAAAAAAAAATGTAAAATGTGAGTTAGGATTGAAGTGATGTGATAGAGAGATAATATTACCTAAATAAAATGATTGTGGCCCAAGTAAAATAATGTGCTAAAATAATACGTACTATTTTATCACATACCAAACAAATCTTACCCAGAGATTGTTTAAGAAGTTAGATGTTAGTACACTTTTTTATTTAATTATATCACCTCTGTATTTTTCTATATATTATTTTATAAAAATATAAAAAAAAATATAGTACTTATTTATTAATTTCCAAACAACCCTAATAGAAATCCATTTTTAAAATTTTTGGATTATTGTATAGAAGAGTGGTTATAAATTTAATTTTTTTAATTAATTTTATTAAATAAAAAATTATAATGAAAAAATATTTATTATTTTTTAAATTATAAAAAATAATTTATATATTAAACAAATTTAGTAAGTATATTTATAATTTATCTTACTTTTATTTTTATTTTTGTAAGAATAGAAAAGAACAGGTACAAAGTCATCGCCATCGTCACATATCTGGAAACTTCCACACCCTTCTCGTTGTCTCTAGTTTCTAAACAGATCTCTCACCCTCTCTCTACTCCAATCACTATAATTAAACCAATTCCAACACCAATAACAATCCACTTGTCCAACAAACACAAACACAAACCCGAGCGTTATATACAGAGTCAAAGTTTTAGCAGTAGCAGAACAAGGAAGAAAGAAGAGCGTTATATTCAGAGTCAAAGGTTTAGCAGTAGCAGAACAAGGAAGAAAGAAGAAGAAGAAAAAGAAAAGGAGATTACGGGAGAGATGGGTGTAGATTATTACAAGATATTACAGGTAGATAAGTCTGCAAAAGATGATGATTTGAAGAAAGCTTATAGAAAGCTTGCTATGAAGTGGCACCCTGATAAGAACCCCAACAACAAGAAAGAAGCTGAGGCCAAATTCAAACAGATCTCTGAAGCCTATGAGGTATCTCTCTCTCTCTCTCCCTCTCTCTCTCTCTCTCTATATATATATATGCTTATTATATCAGTTGATACATTCAGTGCCTCAATTAATTGTTATTTATGAGAATTCTTAATGGGGAAATTACCTATAAGTTGTATTATCAAAAAATTATTACAGAATGATGAAAAAGTTTGTAACTTTAATGATTATTATTTATAAAATTTATCACTTTATCTGTAATTTTTTTTAAAGGTTTACCCTGAATTGAAATTCCCCCATTCTTAATTAATCCCCCAAAGATGAGACCTTTTTACAATCTTTGTGAACCCATTATCTTCGATTTTGGATTATAGCAAAGGCTGTAAAGATTGTTTAAATTTGATTTGGTAATTTAAAGAATTTCGAAATTAGTATTTGTTTGATCTCAAACGAATTGAGTCGAGTTGAAGTATATTGATTTCTTTGTAGTGTAGTGTATGAGTTTATTAAACACGTTTTGAGTTAAAATCAAACAAATTTTAATTGAGTATTTTTTTATAATGCTTAAGTTGAGTAATGGATTGAATTTAACTTGTTACTGGTTGATCTCAAAAGTACTTTTGATAAACACGAATAAGTACTGTTGATAAGTTGGAGTAGCAAGGACTTTTTGGGATTACCCATTTTGTAATATTGGGTCTATTAATCCTCATATTTGACCTGTTAGGTTTCACAATGTATAGCCTGATCTTTGCTGATTTTTCACTTTTTAATTGATTCTCATCTTGGACATGTTTGTTAATGTGTGTGATTGAAGAATAGAAATTATGTTACAAATTTGATATTGATTTCGCATTGCTTTAGGTTCTAAGTGATCCACAAAAGAGAGCAATATATGATCAGTATGGTGAAGAAGGTCTCAAAGGCCAAGTGCCACCACCCGATGCCGGGGGACCAGGTGGTCACGGCGGCGCAACATTCTTCCAAACGGGAGACGGTCCAACTGTGTTCAGATTCAATCCCCGAAACGCAGATGACATTTTTGCCGAGTTTTTCGGAAATTCCAACCCATTTGGAGGAATGGGAGGTCTTGGTGGCATGAGGGGAGGTTCAAGGTTTGGTGGTGGTGGTGGTGGTGGAATGTTTGGAGATGACATTTTTACTTCATTTGGGGATGGCAGAACGATGAGTTCCGCCCCTCGGAAGGCTGCTCCAATTGAAAGGACATTGCCTTGTAGTCTTGAAGAACTATATAAGGGGACAACAAAGAAGATGAAAATTTCAAGGGAAATTGCAGATGCCAGTGGGTAAGTAGTTGTGTTCATCATTGTGATTTTTTTGTTTTTTCTTGTGCGTTTGGTGTTAACTGATTTGCTTTTAATCATTTAAGTGCTGTTGATTCAATTACCGGATTTAACTATTTGAAGGAAGGAACAACTTCATTTTTGGTTATGAGATCAAGAATATTTCATGTGGGCAAAGTAAATAAATAACAATTAAAAGTAAAGGGGGGAAAAAAATAGAAAAGAAACCTGATTGACTTTATACTTACTGTCATATTTATGCTGTATTACTTCGGGTTAAGTATGTTTTAAAGTATTCAGAATAAGAAATTGTTGGAAAAGAACGGCACAATTCCTCTTTTCGGTAAATCCGAGGGGGAGGGGAAATCAAGCCTATGTATGTGGCCTCCTAATAAGGTGCACGGTTCTGGCTATTAGGCTAACCCTAGTGGTTTGATCTCTGAAATGAATGCCACAATTCCATGAAATCCACCATCTTCTTAGAAGAAGATTTTACTCTGTTTTAGAAATTGTAGATTTTGCATACACCATGAGAAAGATAAAGAAGTTTTTTGTATGATGCAATAGCAATGTAACCTAAGATTCCATGTGATGAAGGGGTCTAAGCTTAACACATGACCTAAGTTAGGGGTAAACAATATTGAAATAAAGATTAAGAATTTTATGGTTGTTCATACCTAAGAGCTGAGTGCATAATGTGTTGCTTATATAGGCACATAGTGGATTTAGATATATGTTAATGTTCATGAGTAGTCTTAACATTCTAGATTTCTTGAGTTTATTTGGCTCTAGTAATGCTGCTGTGCGGGTTGCAAATCAAATCTACTAGTAATGCTATTGGTATGAAGTTTATTATGCATGTCACGGTTGTAATTTATGTGGTGACACCGTGACGGTATGTTGATTCCTTGAGCAGCTTTTCTATACACATTGAGTTATATATGTAGGCTGTGGTTTACATTCCATAGATGTATGTGCTTGATCAAGCTCACGAGGCTTTGTTTTGTATGTTGTTTCTCTTGTGATTAACAGTCAGCTTCTTGGTTTGGCTTTCTTCTACCTCTAATTATGCTGACATAATCTATACTTTTGCACAGGCAGACCTTGCCAGTGGAGGAGATTTTAACCATTAACATCAAGCCCGGCTGGAAAAAGGGCACAAAAATCACCTTCCCAGAGAAAGGAAACGAACAACCAAATGTCATTCCGGCAGACCTCATCTTCATCATTGACGAGAAACCACACAGTATATTCATGAGAGAAGGCAACGATCTTGTTGTCACTCAGAAAATATCACTTGCTGAAGCATTAACAGGTTACACGGTCCATCTTACAACCCTCGATGGCAGAAACCTGACCGTCGCCATCAACAATGTGATTCATCCAAATTATGAAGAGGTTGTTCCAAAAGAAGGGATGCCAATACCAAAACAGCCGTCGAAGAGAGGCAATCTCCGAATCAAGTTCAACATCAAATTTCCGACAAGGATGACAGCCGAGCAGAAGTCTGGAATCAAGAAATTATTGGCACCATGATGTAGATTATGCCCCGCCCTTGTGCATACCTTTGTGGCCCCTTAATTTTCTCCAGAATGGTTTAGATTCGTATTGCTTATACGTGTGATAGAGCATTATGTTGTCATACAATTTAATAAAAATGTAACTAGTTGTTGGTTAGCCAAGAAAAAAGGATGAATAAACCAATTTTGGCTGCCTCACTCAATTCTGCTAGAATGATAAGAAACTTTGTGGAACTTGTGCAACTATATTGTGAAAGGTTTGGGATATTTGAGTAGTATAAAAAAAGTAAGAAATGAGCAAATTAGTTCATTTAAATGGAAAGGCTTTGCCTTTGACCAAATTATTCAGTTCTTGTTATATTGTTTCAATTTGTTTTTGCTTTTGTTTTTGTTTTTGTTTTTGTTTTTATTTATTTTTTTTATTTTTGGGAGGGGGGGTTGTGTGTTTTGTAATCATTTTTTATTTTTATTTTTATGTTTTAAAGAAGAAAAATGTTTGAGATCTCATTTTTTGAAGACCTTTACAACTAAGATCTTTATCAGTGATGTATATATGAGATTTATTTATGTATGTGTAGGATTTACATCATTAATAACGGAGATTTAAAATGGGGTTGTGGGGGTCTTCAAAAAATGGGGGTCTCAATCATTGTTGTTTTTAAGATCATAGTATTAATTTATAAACAAAGCTAATTAGATACAAAAATTTGAATTTGGAAGCATTAAATTCAAATTAGGGTTTTATTTGTCAGAACTTAAAAAAGTTAAAAAGTCACTATTTTATGTAAGTCGCATAATCTTATTTAAGTCACATTACTTTTCTATCATATTAGTTCAAATTTAACTCATACTCAATTCATATTTCATAAAAGGTAAAAAAATATATTTATTTAGATCATCCTAAATAACCCCTAAGTATCATCTCTATATAGGGGAAAAAAAATTACAAATCAAAAAATTATATCTTAGATTGTTTTGATTGATAGATGGCTTAACTATAAAAAGGGTGATTTACAGGTAAGCCCCGTTTTAACAAATAATGGTCTATGAAGTCTTAGTTTGAAAACTTTTAACCAGTAAGTCCCATAATCCATTAATATGACGAAACTACCCTTACCAAATCAAAACACAAAACAAAAATCGCAGATTCACGATTTCATTGACAGTTCATCCCGCCATTTTTCACCCTCGCAGATTTCATTCCCACCTTCATCAATTTCGCCTCACATTTCGTCTTCCTTCATCAATCTCGTCTTGCTTCATCAATCTCGCCTCAGATTTCACAAAAGCAAACTAGATCATCAAACATTCAAACTTCCGAACAACCAAAAATGGTGAAAACAAGTAAGATTCAAGTATCTTAAACCCTAATTTTTGCGAAATCTTTCATTTTCGAAACTTTTGTTTTTCATTTCCATTTCAGCTTGAATGTTGAGTTCGAAACTTTCAAATTAGGGTCTTATTTGTCATAACTTAAAAATGTTAAAAAGTTAAAAAGTCGCTATCTTATTTAAGTCGCATTATCTTATTTAAGTCACGTCACTTTTCTATCATATTACTTCAAATTTGATTCATACTCAATTCATATTTCATAAAAAGTAAAAAAATATATTTATTTAGATCATCCTAAATAACCCCTAAGTATCATCTCTATATAGGGGAAAAAAAATTACAAATCAAAAAATTATATCTTAGATTGTTTTGATTGATAGATGGCTTAACTATAAAAAGGGTGATTTACAGGTAAGTCCCGTTTTAGCAAATAATGGTCTAAGAAGTCTTAGTTTGAAAACTTTTAACCAGTAAGGCCCATAATCCATTAATATGACGAAACTACCTTTACCAAATCAAAACACAAAACAAAAATTGCAGATTCACGATTTCATTGACAGTTCATCCCGCCATTTCTCACCCTCGCAGATTTCATTCTCACCTTCATCAATTTCGCCTCACATTTCGTCTTCCTTCATCAATCTCGTCTTGCGTCATCAATCTCGTTTCAAATTTCACAAAAACAAACTAGATCATCAAACATTCAAACTTCCGAACAACCAAAAATGGTGAAAACAAGTAAGATTCAAGTATCTTAAACTCTAGTTTTTGCGAAATCTTTCATTTTCAAAACTTTTGTTTTTCATTTCCATTTCAGCTTGAATGTTAAGTTCGAAACTTTCATTTTCTAACCTTTTGTTTTTTATTTCCATTTCAGCTTGAATGTTGAGTTTGAAACTTTTGTTTTCGAAACTTTTGTTTTTGTTTTTGTTTGTGAATCTGAGAACATTCATTGTAATGCTACAAAAATCATGTTCTGTTGCTTTCTATTTAGGTTTCAATGTTGATTTTGGTGCGATTGCTGTGAATATTCTCACATTCTTAGTGAATTTGAATGAAAAACCCTAGTTAATCATGTTCTCTTGTTTTCTATTTAGGTTTCAATGTTGATTTTGGTGCAATTGTTGTGAATATTCTCAGATTTTTAGTGAATTTGAGTGAAAAAACCTTAGTTAATCATGTTCCCTTACTTTCTGTTTAGGTTTTATTATTGATTTTGGTGCCATTGCTGTGAATATTTTCAGATTCTTAGTGAATTTGAGTGAAAAACCCTAGTTCATTCTGTTGCCTTGCTTTCTGTTTAGGTTTCATTGTTGATTTTAGTGCAATTGCTGTGAATATTCTCAGATTTTTAGTGAATTTGAGTGAAAAAACCTTAGTTAATCATGTTCCTTTGCTTTCTGTTTAGGTTTTATTATTGATTTTGGTGCCATTGCTGTGAATATTTTCAGATTCTTAGTGAATTTGAGTGAAAAACCCTAGTTAATCATGTTGCCTTGCTTTCTATTTAGGTTTCATTGTTGATTTTGGTACAATTGCTGTGAATATTCTCAGATTCTTAGTGAATTTGAGTGAAAAACCCTAATTAATCATGTTTCCTTGCTTTCTATTTAGGTTTCATTGTTGATTTTGGTGCGATTACTGTTAATATTCTCAGATTCTTAGTGAATTTGAATGAAAAACCCTAGTTAATCATGTTTCCTTGCTTTCTATTTAGGTTTCATTGTTGATTTTGGTGCGATTGCTGTGAATATTCTCTAAGTCTTAGTGAATTTGAGTGAAAAACCCTAGTTAATCATGTTCTCTTACTTTCTATTTAAGTGTCAATGTTGATTTTGGTGCGATTACTGTTAATATTCTCAGATTCTTAGTGAATTTGAGTGAAAAACCCTAGTTAATCATGTTCTTTTATTTTCAATTTAGTTTTCAATGTTGATTCTAGTACCATTGCTGTTAATGTTTTCAAATTCATATGGAATTTGAGTGAAAAACCCTAATTAATCAACTTCTGTTACTTCTAATTTAGGATTCAATGTTGATTTGGGTACCATTGCTGTTAATGTTCTCAGATTCTTACTAAAATTACGCGAACAACCCTACTTAATCATATCCTATGCCTTTCAATTTAGGTTTCAATGTTGAGTGTGGTACCATTGCTGTCAATGTTCTCATATTTTCAATCAATTTTAGTCAAAAACCATAATCATATTATATTGGTTTCAATTTAGCTTTCATTGTTGATTTTGGCACGATTCATGTGAATGTTCTCAAATTCTTAGACAATTTGAGTAAAAAACCTTAGTGAATCTTATTCTCTGGTTTCAATTTAGCTTTCAATGTTGATTTTGGTATGATTCCTGTGAATGTTCTCAGATTCTTAGACAATTTGAGTAAAAAACCTTAGTGAATCTTATTCTCTGGTTTCAATTTAGATTTCAATGTTCATTTTGGCACGATTCCTATGAATGTTCTCAAATTCTTAGACGATTTGAGTAAAAAACCTTAGTGAATCATGTTCTCTTGGTTTGAATTTAGGTTTCAATGTTAATTTTCGTACGATTGTTATTAATGTTTTCAGATTCTTAGTCAATTTGAGTGAAAACCCGGACTTAATCCATATTCTCTTGATTTCAATTTAAGTTTCAATATTGAGTTTGACATGATTATTGTGAATTTTCTCAAGTTTTCAATCAATTTGACTGAAAACCCTAGTTAATCATGTTCTCTTGCTTCCAATCTAAGTTTCAATATTGATTTTGCTGCTATTGCTGGGAATGTTCTCATATTTTGAATCAATTTGAGTGAAAAACCCTACTTAATCATATCCCATTCCTTTAAATTTAAGTTTCAATGTTGAGTGTGGTACCATTGCTGTCAATGTTCTCATATTTTCAATCAATTTCAGTGAAAAACCTTAGTTAATCATATTCTATTGGTTTCAATTTAGCTTTCATTGTTGATTTTGGTGTGATTGCTGTGAATGTTCTCAGACTCTTAGACAAATTGAGTAAAAAAATCTTAGTGAATCATATTCTCTTGGTTTCAATTTGGGTTTCAATCTGAATCAATTTGAATAAAAAAAACCCTAGTTAATCATATCCTATTGCTTTCAATTTAGGTTTCAATGTTGATTTTCGTACGATTGTTGTTAATGTTCTCAGATTCTTAGTCAATTTGAGTGAAAACCCGGACTTAATCATATTCTCTTGATTTCAATTTAGGTTTCAATATTGAGTTTGACATGATTGTTGTGAATTTTCTCAAGTTTTCAATCAATTAGACTGAAAACCCTAGTTAATCATGTTCTCTTGCTTCCAATTTAAGTTTCAATATTGATTTTTGCTGCGATGGCTGTGAATGTTCTCATATTCTGAATCAATTTGAGTGAAAAACCCTAGTTAATAATCTTCTCTTGCTTTTAATTTAACTTTCAATGTTGATTTTGTTTTTATAGCCATGAATGTCATCAAACTTAGACTTCATGAGAATGACATTGGATTGATTCTTTTAGGGAACATTCTCAGTATTTATATCTTGTCTATGTTGATTTTCCGTACAGGAAAGCAACTCATGAAAACCCCAAGACTAAAAAGTAATGCAAAGAAAATGATAAGAAAGCATACAAAATCAACTTCAATGGATAAAAAGCAAAAGGCAAAGTGTAGAGAATGGAGATTAACTTTCAGATCAAACATGGGGACAATAGTGAAGCTATTACAGCACATCAAACTCAGGAATGAGCATATTCATGGCTTGAAGAAAACCCCATTTTGGGCATTGTTTGATACAATATTGCAAAACAAGCTGAATTATAAACAATGCAGAAAATATGATGACATTGCATTGAAAATAATTCAAACATACCAGCCAGGCAGCAGTGGTTCTTTCCAGTTAGGACCAGAAACTGTAAAGCTAACAACAGAAGACATTAAGTCCATCTTCGGTATATCTTGTGGAGATGAGCCGATACATCTTGGTTATGGAAATAAA